TTCAGCCTGCGAGCGGCCCAACCTCCCATCAGGTCCAGCGATCGGCCCAGATGCCTCCAACGCAACCCATTACGCGCTCAACCTCCTCCAGCTCGAGCCTTGATCGATCTAGATGGTCCAGAAGCGGTCCAAACTGGCACAGCTCGGTCCAGAAGCCCCGCTTTGACCCCAAGGTTATTTCGGGACAGTTCAACGTGGATGGTAAGCCCACAGAGAGTCCAGGATGATATGACACGGACGGTGAGGTAATTTGAGATAACATTATCATGATGCAGGTATGTGGTTAATTTAAATGATGTGTCTGAAGGATTTTTAAATTGGTGAAAATAGAAAAATTAGTTGGTTTATTGGTTGCACTTGTAGAGGCGAACTATATTTTACAAAGCACTAATCAAATAAGTTTGGTGGATAATAAATATCGGTTGTAGTTTCAATTAAAAAATCGTCTTTGGCATTTGGTTGGTGCATTTATCAATTTTCATCGGTGGCTCATAGAGATTGATTAAAATTATATAATTTGATATCTTGGTATATTCCAAACCTCTCAATTGGATTTTCATGTGGTGAGCAAACTACTTAAATTTAATATTGTTATTGGTTGCAAAGTGGATATCCGACTTGCGGTGGCCACCACTTTGCTTGTAGAAAATGTGGAATTTTGTTTTAATTGATTATTCGTAAATTTTGAAGAGCGTGTCTTATATCGAGGAGATGGTGATGTTTGTATTTTAGCTCTCGTTTTTCTTGCGTGGAGAGTTGCAAAATGGATGACGTGAATATAATGTGGCTAAACTCTTTGGCAAGGTAATTCGGTCCTCAATAAATGGGGTAGACAAATCAGGAGGATACGTCGGGTGATGCGAGTCTCAGAGACCTACGTGGACAACACATGTGGAAACAACGAAATGATTTGAGTCTTGACAAGCTAAAGCGGATGAGTCGTTGAGTTTCGAAGACAAAATGAGTGAGCATGAATCCATCAAAGCGTGATGATAATGGAAGACGAGTTTTGATGGTGCCAATAGCCCGTGGCAGTCTCAAAGGCAGAAATCAATCTCTTTTAGAGAGGTAGTATAATTTGGAGTGCTATTCTCGACCTTCAGGTATAAAATTAATCCCAACTCTTATCGACAGTCAAGATTTGATTGACACAATTTATTGACACCTAGGGTCTCTTAGCATGCTTTTTTGGAGAAATATTCATTGTTTGGATATTTTAGGCGAAATGTTGTTGAGATTGTGTTATATATGGATATGTTCAAAATTATCATTTGAGTGACTAAGAAAATGTAGAAAATGAGGTAGACGTGGAACCTTGAACAAACAATCTGGCATGACTAAGGCCTTCTGGCTAGCCAGTCTTGAGTCGTCATGTATAAACATGAAATAGAGGTAAAACAATATGCTTGATTTTTTTTTTCTTTTATCTTGTTCGATATAATTGTGCATTCAGTGACATTAATGAAAATGATGTATTACTATCCTATCTTGTTGTGTTCGATATGTTTCCTTTCGACCTAAGTGGCAGGTCGAAGTTTTCGAGCTGTTTGGGAGTCAAAAAATTCACCATGACTAAGGCGTTCGGGCTGGGTGGTCGCTTGTTTTCAACAATCCCAGAGGGGGGTTGGAAAACTGTTCAAGATCAAAACCATGACTAAGGCCTTCAGGATGGGTAGTCGATTGTTTTGAACAACCCCAGAGGGGGGTTGGGAAAGTGTTCGAAATAAAAAATCAACCATGACTAAGGCCTTCGGGCTGGGTGGTTGCTTGTTTTGAACAATTTCTAGAGGGGGGTTGGGCAAGTGCTCGAAATAAAAATCCACCATAATTGAGCCTTTCGAGTTGGGTGGTCGCTTGTTTTGAACAACTCCAGAGGGGGGTTAGGCAAGTGCTCAAAAAAATTCACNGTTCGATATGTTTCTTTTCGACCTTAGTGGCATGTCAAAGTTTTCGAGCTGTGCGGAAATCAAAATCCACTATGATTAAGGCCTCCGGGCTAGGTGGTCGCTTGTTTTGAACAATTCCAAAGGGGGGTTGGGCAAGTGCTCGAAATAAAAAATCCACCATGACTAAGGCCTTCGGGTTGTGGTTGCTTGTTTTGAACAATCCTATAGGGGTGTTGGGAAAATGCTAGAAATTAAAATCTACCATGATTTAAGGCTTTCGAGCTTGGTGGTCGCTTATTTTGAACAACCCCAGAGGGAAGTTGACAAGTGCTCGAAATAAAAAATCCACCATGACTAAGGCCTTTGGGCTGGGTGGTCGTTTGTTTTGAACAATCCCAGAGGGGGGTTGGATAAGTGCCTGAAACCAAAATCCACCATGATTTAGGCTTTCGAGATGGGTGGTCTATCCTAGTGTTGGGTCGTTGAAGACAAGGGAGACATATCTTCTCACTCCTGTCGCCTTCTGCTACCCCACTCAATCGGCCTAGAAACCACCGGAATATGTTGCTCCACCACCGGGACCCACTGTTTAGCCTCTCCTCCTAGTTGTGCCACCATCGGTTCTTGTTGCTCACCCGCCACAAGAAGCTTTTCCACCACCACATGTGGCTGCAATACCTTCGCCCTATCAATCGCCTCCGCAATAATCCAACCCAACTTCTCCCTGGCCAGTTGTATCACTTGCTCAGCACCTCCCACCATAGCTCTTAATTTGACATGGCATATGCGCGACAACCTCCTTACTTTTTCCCAGATCGCTAACTCCCGAGGTAGCTCCGGCGTTAATCCTTGGTTCACTCCTGGCAAGTTCATCTGAGGGTTAACCATCGTCCTTTCGCCGCTAGCCCCTCCTAGAGGTGGTCCAACATCAAAGGGTGTTTTGGCTACCGAAACCTCCTCCAGGCTCTCATCCAAATTAGTCGACTTCTCCATCTTAACTTCCTCTGCAACCAATAGAGCAACAGAGTTACACTACAGAACAACGCCAATTGATGTGTAGTTGCACCTCAAACTAGCTTCCCAAGCTCCCTCGACCGAACTGCTCCCTAGAGACCAGCAAAGAGTCGAGAAATTTTCCCAGTGTTAAACCTCGGACGATCAAGTATGGTGATATAGAAAACTATATGAAAAATGTGAAATCTTAGAGTGTATAAAGAGTGATTAACCTTTATCTTTTCCCAGCTTTACCTATTTATAGAGGTTTATTAGCTTCCTGGACAAGCTTCTGTCCTGCCCGAAGGCTTGCCCTATTGCCTTTTGTGCCCGATTGGGCTGCCCGTTGGTTATTTAGGCTACCCCAAGGCATGCCCGTCAGTTATCTTGTCTTTATTCATATCCGTTCGATTGTTTATTCTTTTTACCATGACCTTACACGTGTCCCTATGGACAACTTAAAACAGACTTGTTACGTAGGTCAATTCTCTTTCTAGAGTCATTTACAAAATTATTGAGTACCGAGCTCCTCTGTTAGAATATCACTTGTGAGTTGTCCCACATCGTTCATACATGGACCCACTTTATAAGTCTAATGGGTTACTCCTCCTTCCACCAATTGATTTTGGGATGGAACCTCACTTGGGCTTCATATGGGCTTTCCGCGCTTTGGTGCGCTTCATGTTAGTGGGCCCGTACCTGTTTTTCCCCAGTTTCTTACATGGTATCAGAGCCGGTTCTATTGGTGACCGTGCAAGGAAGTACCCGTAACCCAGCCAGTTGGACTTGGGCTTTCGAAGTACTCACAAGTGAGGGGGCGTGTTAGAATATCACTTGTGAGTTGTCCCACACTGTTCATACATGGAAAATAGACCCACTTTATAAGTCTAATGGGCTACTCCTCCTTCCACCAATTGGTTTTTGGATGGAATCCCACTTAGGCTTTATATGGGCTTTCCCCGCTTTAGTGTGTTTCATGTTTAGTGGGCCCGCACACGTTTTTTCCCCAGTTTCTGTCATGGTATCAGAGCCGATTCTATTGGTGACCGTGTGATGACGTACCCGTCACCCAACTCAGTTGAGGCTTGGGCTTTCGAAGGACTCCCGCACCCGTTTTTCCCCCAATTTCTGTCATCCTCAACAACCGAGCTATAAATTTATCTATATTTATCGGGTTATCCGAGCTTCTTATATGAAGAGCTAACCTCTTGTCTGAGCTCCATATATGTCGAGCTAACATATTAACATCTTGTCCGAGCTACACATATTAGCATCTTGTCCAAGCTCCATATATGTTGAGCTACTAATATTGACCTGTTGTCCGAGCATCATATATGCCGAGCTATATCTACCCCTTTGCTAGTCGAGCTATCTGAATTACTTCTAAACTCATAGGCCTAACTATTCTTCGTTCTGTAAACCGAGCTAAATACGATCGGCTCCACCGAGAGATTCTCGTGTTATATCACATAAGGGAATTTCATAGAACTAACGGTCTTTTTTTACTTTGGCTTTCATAGTCTTGGGCTAACGTACATTTGCAATTGTACTATTCTAACCTGAAATTTAAAATATGTAATAACTGTATACAGTCTCCGATCGACATATGTACGATAAAAGTTCCGACACCTCCAAGGTTATTGTTATAATATTGGCGGTTGAATATGTGAATATTACTTACATCATCCTAGTAAGATTTCAATAACAAAACCGGTGGTTTTGACAAATACTTTGGAATTAATTTGGTACAATATTAATGCTTAATAACATACAATTGAGGTTGATAATAATGTAATGTACACATGTGTCATCCTTGTCGTAAGATAAAAGTAGACACTCACACATGGTGAGAGGGTTCCAAATATTAATCTTCAATAACCCGAATATAAGGTCTCAAATTTTACATGGTCATGCAGTAAAATTGTGGTTTGCCAAAAATACACCCAAACCACATATTGCATGCAAGAATGTGAAAGAGATCATNAAATAATGGAAAAAAGTTTGGGAGGTGAAGGAATAGTTTCTCCATAATTATTAACACACTCTCTCTCTCTCTCTCTCTCTTTTTTTTTTAAATAATGTTTTCTTAACATGTACATTAGTTACTTATAATTATACCAACTATTGCAGCTGCATGGTGATGGGGGCCAAGATTTGGAGTAAACCGGTGAGTTTGTTATGAAGAAAATTCGATTGTGACAATAGCCGATTCCAATCCATTTGGATCAAGTGACAATCGCGGGCTACCACGCATAAACAACTTTTAAGTTCTTCATTCTCGACTTTAAGCAGGTTTACTTCGCTCGTGAGGTCTTCTCGATGCCTCTTTTTCCTTAAGCGCGACCGACGGGCTGATTCTCGGTTTGAGACCATTCGCCTTTGCCTTCGTTCTTCGGTGGAGTAAACCGATCGGTTGGTATCCGAGCTTGATGTCGATTTTATAGACGGTAATGATTGAAGTAGGGGAAAGATTTCATTAGGAGTGAGGATTTGGTCTTGAAGAACCGGGGGTTGGTCTTGGACCGGGTTTTGAGTGAACATGATCATGAGAATAATTTTTTTTAGGAGAGAATTGAGGAAAGAAAGGAGGGGAAAAGGGAAGAAATGAGGACTAGGGGAGGGGAATTTATGAAGGTTGGAGAGGTGAGATTTGGTCCCCAATCAATATTTATTTAAAAGGGAAAAAGTTGGATAAAGTTATTTTGAATTTTTTTTATTAAATTGAGAAAGGAGAGAACAGTGAAAGTATCAATCTCTTTTAAATAAAGTAGTAAGACAAAGAGGGGGACATTTGTAGAGCTATTAAGTGTATGTGTAACATCCTACATTTATCATTCTTAATAACCCCAAATCAACCAAACCCTCGTTCGGCGGTGAACCACGCCTTCCTCAGCAGGGCCTCGCCGGGCCATCTCGGTGCCGGTCATCCCCCGACTGTGCGGCCGGATATTGAAGGCTCGTTGGATTGGAGGCTCCCTCTTCCCGGGTGAAATGACGGATTCGCCCAATTTGGCTTTCGCCTCCTATTAGGTTGCCATGGAGGGTCTTGTTCCGGCGATTCCCCGGCGGCGAGTCTACTGCGAGTCTGCGATTAAGGGCTGCGGCTTCGATTGTCTCTTGTGGGGTGGTCAGGCTGAGATCGGGCCGTTCCGCTCTCCTTCTTTCTCCCGATTTCTCTGCTTTTGGGGTCTCTAGACTGCATTTGCGGATTCGGGGTCGGGTCTTGTGGCCTGGGCCTGGGTCATCGGGGCTAGAATGGTGGAGCTTGTTGTTGATCTCCGGTTGCGGGTCTCGGGTTGTCTACCCGGGCGGGCAAGGTCGTATGTCTCGAGTCTAGTTAGGCGTTTATTCTGCAGTTTCTGGATTCGTGGTATGGACCGGGTCTCTGTCTGTGTGGGTGGGTGCCCGTGGGTGTCGGCGTAGTGTTTGTTCGGCTTGGTTCATCTGCTGTGGGAAGGGCTTTTTTTGTTTATTT